CAGCACTTTCTTTTGGAGTATACTTCAACCTTTACCATGCACTCTTGTGCATTCATCAAAAACACATGCACATGCATGCATGCATGCACATAAATCACTCAGTCTCTCTCTTTTAGTCAAGTGAACATTTTTGCAAAAAATAAAAGGTGATATCCAAGGTGCCCCTGGATTTCAGTTGAAAAAACAAAGCAGGTGATTTTATTGAAACAACTTTAAATGAAAGAAAAGAAAATAACACAAACAAAAAAATGACAATTTCAATTACCATAAATCAAAAGTTGAATGTGTAAAAAGAAAAAAAGAATAAGAAAACATTTGTATTTGAACCAAAATAAGTTAAATATAAGGAAAAGTAAGCTATCTGTAATAAGCTTCATATGCAAAAGCTGTACAATATTTTAGTTGGTAGATTTGTACATCTACAATAATTGAATGCTGTAGCTAGCAATAGTTAATTCTTTCAAAAGCAAGCCTATTGGAGCCTCAAAAAATAAACTGCTTAAAGGGATCTGGTCATACTCTTTACTTTGACCTTACAAATTCTATGCCATTTAAATTTGGTTACAAACAAATGATTAATTATTGCACCATGTTGACTATTCTGATCTTATTTCTGTGTTTCACACATTTTGTCCCCTTTTATTCAAAAATAAAGCACCTTTTGTGCAGTTATAATAACAAGACCACATGATTGGAGGTAAGATGCTGTGTATACTGTATGTGCATAAGGAAACAAGAAAGGGGGTCACATTATATTACAGTATGTGTAAGGGAAAAGCAATGAATAAAGCAATTCTGCAACACAAGATCAAGATCAAGTGTCAAAATAAGCCAAAATACTTGGCATGTGAGAGGGATAAGTCACAAGTAATGCTTGGGAAAAAACTATGAATGTTGGTCCTGGCAGGATCTAGGTTTTAAACATAGGCTGCTGGCACATGGCTTAAACCATTGCTTTTGTCTGCTGATCGCACCAGATGCAAAATTATTTTCTGTTTCAAAGGGAATAAGTAAACACTTTCAGGACAAACGGTTGGTGTGAAGTGTTTCATGATAGGAATATTATCCAGTTTGTGGAATTTCTTTTTTCATTGTGAGAATCCTCTTTAAGAATCATTAATCCATTATACTAAAGCCTGGGTTTGTAACGGATTTAAGGATAAATTATAATGGTATATTTTGATAAATATATTGCAGATCAAATTGTCCCCATGAGGAATTTAACTGCTGAAAAAAGATCAAAAGATGAGTTAGTTCCTAAAAGCTCAGCAGGAGGAGAATCCAGCTTTCACCAACCCCTGTAAAATTGGTATGAAGCCAACTGTGTCACTAAGACACAATTTCTCAATTTACACATTAGCAGCACATTTTTCATCAGAATTTTAATTAAACCTGTTATCAGAAAAACTTGGAGAAAAAAAATTTGTCACAATATTTGGATATGGCGTGGTCTTTCACATGTAAATTGCCCTCTGCTCCCCGAGCCGCGACAAATTACAGCCAAATACTGGTGGCTGGATATGAATGGGCTTCCTAATGTAGTCTGTATCTACAGTTGGCTGGGGAGCAGCTGCAAGAGAGAAACTCAGACGAAGGAGAATTTATATGACAGAGCAGAGTGTGACAGTTTGCTTTTTTTCCTCCATAGACAGGGTCCACTGTGCAGCCGCACTGTGACGAATGGGGCTTAACTCCCAGAGCGTCTGTCTCTGAGGACTCACTGAGGGGTAATTAGAGCTGAGGGGTGATAAGGGATACTCTCCAGGTCCCCTAAAGCTATTGATGGTGGGGAAAGGGGACAAGACCAATACACAGACCTTTGACATCACCCAGATCAGGGACACAGGAGAGGGTGGAGCACGGCTTGATGAAGTGTGATATTTTTAAGAGAAGTACATGAGTCTACAGGGAGAGTCATGGTTTGTGTGACCAGTTCAGGGATTGGAGAGAGAATTATGTAAGCAAAGTGCCTGAAAGTACTATTTCAAAGTTTCAACATTTTAATTTCTGTTTAAATATTTTTTCTGACCAAAACTTAGCACTTATTTCCTTCCAAAATCCACCTTTTCATTTTGTAAAATTGACATTAATGGAATAAAACCAAAAATTAGAATTACAGAACAATTTACTATTGAGACCAAAGGGTTGTAACAATTAAATCAGGATTTGACAATGCAGGAAGCCATTAGAGATGTCTTTGGCACTAATGTTGTATTTCCTTGAAGAAGTTTGGTCAGGTTTGGAATAAGATTTTTGGAGTTTGTAGGGTTATTTTTGTTCTTTGTCATTATTTCAGCTATTTTTGGACATTCTACTCCAATGCTATTTAATGCTTCTTTAGTTGTTGATTTTTTTTTTTTTAACTACATCATTTGGTCATTCTACAAGTAGATATAATATTGTGGCCAAAGCTAAAAGGTAACAAAAAAAAAGACAGAAGTTTCACAATCTCAAATTAAAGACAGACAGATTGGTCTAAAGTTTGAAAATGCATAACTAACTTTATTGACCATTTAAAAAAATACAAATAAAATTGTTTATATATTATGAAGGATTGTGTATGAGGAATACAATGTCAAATAAGGATATTAGATGCCAAGCATTGCTTTTGGTGGAAGGAAAGGCTCCTTACAAGAATTGATCAGCGATCGCTGCTGACTCTCAAAACTGTACAGGATAGATTCTGAAATGTTAAAAAGGATTACCATGGATCTTAGAAGTAGTTCAATGGCTAAAGGACAATTATCATAAAAGTTGATGGAAGTGTTGTATATAAATTTTCTCTATTGGCATGCTTACTCCATTGATGATTTTTAAAAACTTTAGTTTAAAAAAGTGGTTTCATTAGGGAACGTAAGACGTGGCTTATCGTGTTGAGATTAAACACTATTTTTGAAAGTAAGGAGCATCTTTAGACTTAGATATTTGTTGCTTTTTAATGCTGATTTCTACAATAAGTTTTAACAACTTTTGTTTAAACATTTTTAACTCGAGCTGTTTAATGGTGCTAAATCTGTTACATTGTTTTTAACAATTACAGATGACTTCACACAACCTCAGTTCAAAAACCTTAAAACCTCCTTTATTATTGTGGACCTTAAGACAAATGAAGGAGCATAGAGAAAAAACAGAGAGAAATAAAAAGATACTACCTAAAATATTTAGATTTCCATTTCTTGAAAAAAAAAAAAAATCTTGTTTTCTGTTCCCTTGAACAGTGCAAATATAGACAAGCACCCTGCAGACGGAATGGCCTCCAGGCTTCAATATTGCTGGGACTGAAAAAGTCAAGCATGAGCGACTGGGCTCTTTGGGACTGTCTCACCCTTTTATATCTATCTCTGTATTCTGAACACACTCATGATGTCTGGCAGCAGTTATCTGGCCCTTTCACAAAATGTCAGAAAAATAAAATACTACGTAAACTAGTTAATATAAATATGACTGGAGGTAATTTAAGAATGACATGAGCAATTTTAGTCCTGACAGGTAAAATAAAATGAGGAAAATAGAAAAATAATCTTTCAAGCACTCATACAGAAGGCACAACTGAATTCATAACAAATTTAACTGTTCAGTGCATTTGCATTCAAGAGCATCCAAGGGAAAGACTCCATATTGTTGAAAAGTACATTAGGGGTTTTTATAAGATGGTTTATACAATAACTCACTTCCCTTCCTCCTACAAAATTTTTTTTCTGTGTTCAATGTATTCCCCCTATTTTCTTCACCAATTTTCTGCATGCTTTGCTACTCTAAAAAATGCTGTCCTAAAGACAAAGTCAATTATGCTCCGCGTTGATTAGGAGCAATATGGAGATCAAGAGATAAGCTTCAGGAATTTGATATGAGAGCAAAGGGGGAGCTGGGATCTGAGGGGAAATCATGAGGGCAAGAGTCGTCTGGGACAAGTTTGCCTGAGAGCTTTATTGCACTTAGATGATCTCTCCTCCAACAATTAATAATGGATTCAAGATCATCTGTGATATATGTGCAATATAAACCCTTTGCTCAACCTATCCCAGACTGTTTAGACAGATAAAAACAGACAAAAGACAGGCACAGCACGTCACATACAGGTTCATGGGAGCAATACACAACACAGACACATCAAAGGTACGAGCAGAGGCAGGCATCAATACTCCACAGTAACGTCACTGAATTAAACAGACACAAACTGCAGCATAGACAGAAATACAGACAGACATGCAAATCAAGCTTTATGCTAACCGACACACGCAAAGCATGCAAGGAAGAAAACAGAGCATGCACACAAACGCACTGATGAGATAATAAGCCCACAAACACAACCTTCACTCTCTCTTTCCAATAAACACACTAAACTGTGACTTAGCCCTAATCACGAACACAGGATGACACAAGCATATTTGATTAATCAGAAGAACCCACAGGAAATATACTTAAACAGTTGTCTTACACTAACAGACTTATAATAAGTGGTTATGGTAAGAAACAGACCTAGAAAACACTTGCAGCTACAAAAATATTCTACGGCTAGAGTATATTTTGCCCGTGGACTCTTTTCTTGCAATATGCTCGTCCATTTTGATAGAAATTAAAGACATCAATAAAGATAATTACGCTGTACAGATAGACACTCATGTGTAATTATGTGAAACTAAATGAAAGAAAACATAAAAACCAAATAAATGAAACTTAAAACTCAGCGAGTTAGTAAACAGTAATACGTCAAGCAAGGACAGGAACAAAAAAAAAAAAAATGGTCCAGCCTGTTCCCACGAAACCTGACTGAATCAGTTCACAGCACAACAGCAACACTAGAAAGTCAAAGGAACCAGAACTACAATACCAGAAGCAACAACAACAAAAATAAGAGATAATAAAGATAAAAACAATAACAACAGCAAAGTGACACAAACTACAAGTGAAAGGGTGATTATAGATAGTTTATATATAGATATATATAGATACATATAGATAGACAGGAAAATCCAGAGATACGTGTTGCTGGTATTTACTTCATCATCATAGTGCCATACTGCTTGACCATCCGGCATCTCAGAGCTCACACTACTGTCCTGATCGATTAGCCAGCGATGCACGGCGTGGGCCTAAAAGGACACACGACATAGAGACAGAGCCCAGTTAATTGCAACATGGAGCAGCAGCGATGGGGAGAAAGAAAAGAAAGAAGAGGAGATGCAGCAGCAGCAGCAGCCGAGTTGACAGAGAGCAATGTTAGATGGAGGAGGAGATTCAGAGAGGGAAAGGTGAAACTAAAAAGAGACAAAGAGAAAATCAAGTGAAAGAAGAAGCTGAAGACTAGGAAAAGAAACCTTCTGAACCCTGTCCCACCCAAAAATGACTGCATTCATCTAAAACAAGACCTCTCTGATGGAAACATGTACACTTAGGATGAAATTAATGAACACAATGGAGGACAACACGAGGTCATTATGAGCATGATAGTGGAGATGAATCTGTCAGCTGTGTCACACTTAGGCTAGTTGGGATTTATTCAATCTTTGTAACATAAAGACATATATATATATATATATATATATATATATATATATGATGTACTCACCTCAGATTCTCACATACCATAGAAAAAAGCAACTACATAGTGCAGTATAAACCATGATACATAGAAAAAACAAAGATATTTTATATCATAAAGAGGAAATAAAGAGACACCAAGTGACAGTGGACTAGCAAATAATATGTTTTAAACAAGGACGCTTTTACAAGACTGGAATGTCATGTCATGTCAGTGCTGGAGTACATCTAGAATTGTTTTATATCGACAAAATAAAAACATCAAATTGATTCAAATTAGGTATAAAATGTAAGCTTTCGAAAATAAGCTGTCTGTAACCCTTCCAATCTAAACTATAAATGTTTATTTAACACAAAGCAGATAGAGATGGTGATGTAGTTATTTTAGTATTGTTAATACCTTATTTACAATATCTGCAGCACCATTCCCAACTTGGTCACACCTTGCTGTGGGATAACCGACTTATCATTTATTGTGTTTTTTTCCCCCCATTCCACTATCGTAGAGCTACACTCTCGCTGATGGAGGTGGTCTCTGATAAACCACCAACTAAGGCTACACATATTCAACTTGGATGCCAGAAATTGGTCCTACACAATAGGACCTATGCAAGTTTATCATGGGTGCATTTTCATTATACAGGTGGCACACATTAAGGGAAAAAAAAAATCTTCCAATAGTTTACCGTAGGATCAATACCACACGTTATATTCTGCACTTGTTTGTGTCAAGTACCCAAACCAAGGCAAAAAAACAAACTGCTTAGTAGTTCTTCAGGGAACAAAAAATAGCTTTATCACATGTAAGGATGATGCTCACATGGTGTCAAAACAATGCTCTCCAGAATATCATCAAGGATCAACCCTAATTACTGCTGCCTCTCCAACGTCTTCCTCCAGACAAACACCAAAAGTCTACTCCATTTCCCTCTTCTGTTATGCAGATTTAACTGCAGCCAGCTCCAGTACCGGTCACCCTGAAACACACATGCATCCACAGGCTCACACACACACCACCACCTCCATCTGTTACTCTTGACTGTTGTTGTGTCAGCAGCAAAAACAACTGAACACAGCTCCTTTTGTGAAGCCTGCTGCCCTCTGTGCAATAGAAACAGTTATCAAGATTTGCAAAAGGGGGGAAAATCTCAGAATCCAGGGATTAATTATCCTGTCACGGCTGCTGTGACACATTTATCATTTTCTTTACTCAAGCAGTTTTACAGTATATACTGTGTTTTTAAGATGTAGGCTGTCAAAGGTTCAGCCATTTAGCATTTTAGCTGGCTGAAATGGCCGGAGTTTCCACCCATGACCAAGGAAGTTTCTTTTATATAGTCTCATATTCTCAGATCTTAAACAAGGCGAGATAATTTATATAATGTAATTTATTCAAAAAACTTCAACATGCTCCACAGGAAAACAGAGAGATAATAAAATCTTATATGAAAAAGAAATGCATAAAAAAAGTTATATTAACTTAATACTAGATCACTGAACCAATGCACTTTGATGAGCTGTTAACCTATCTAGGGAAGTCGCCTCTGCTCATCCCATGACAGAGGACATAGAGGCAAGAAGGAGGAATTCAGACTGATGGAACACAGCTTACTGTATTTGAAAACAGATGCTGGGGAAGCAGTCAAGAATGCAGAAAACATATTTAAAAAAGAGGTAGATCAAGCTCAAGGGCAAAGTGGATAAAAAGGTGACAGCACAGGACTGTGCCTTTAGGGTAAACCTGCAGAGAGGGATGACTAAAATCCATCACTAGATAGATGACCACACAGGTTATGCTGGATCCTCCTGAAATTTGATGTTTTCTTGCAGTAACACAAAGCAGTATTGCTGAAAAACAGATTTGCGAGGGGAAGCTGTTTGTGCTAACATGTCTGCAATTCTGTGTTACTGTGAGGATGTGAGGAGCAGGGGCGTCACCCGCGGAGTTTGTGGTAAGCTACAGAGCGTGTCAGCTTATAGGAATAATTGGATTAAGTAGCAGACGGTTTGTGATGACAGGGAGAGTGGGGAAGGTGAAGGGGTGTGGGATGAAGACGGAGGGGAGGCAGACTGAAGCACGGGGGGAGATAAGCCTAACAGGCCATTTGCCCTGGAGCATCACAGTGAACAGACACACATGGGACCTCAAACATTATGCCTTAGATTAGAAGGATTAAAGAATAAGAATATTCTGGCTGTGCTTTGGTTGCGCAGTGGTTAGCGCGTGCAACCCATGTACAGAGACCTTAGTCCTTGACGTGGCAAACCCGGGTTCAAAACCAACCTGTGGTCAATTGCTGCATGTGTCGCCCCCTCTCTCATTCCCCTTTCCTGTCAGCCTACTGTTAAAAAAACAAGCCACTAGTTCTGTAAAAACTCAAAAGAATAAGAATATTCTCTCAAGAACTAACAATAAACTAACCAGCAGCTTTATGTCACTTTTTTTTATCCTGTAGGAGAAATGGAAAATCATCCAGTTAGATCATGCAGGTATTAAGGCCACTTCTGATAAGAACATTCCTGCAGCTTGTCTTTAACAGCAAAGCTGCTGACAGCATTAAGGATAAAGGTGAAGACAGGAGTCAGAGACCATGAGACTACAAGTCACAGATGGAAAGGTATGACAGAAAAAACTTACAGAATCCCTGCAGAGTAACTTAAGTTAAAAAGTCTGTTGGTTGAAACAGGATCTGAAACGGTTTCCTTAATTATTTAGTTCAGGTTTTTAAAAAAACACCTAAATCTTAGAAGAATGAAACTTAAAAGACTTAGACCTAAAGACAAGCTTAGAGGATGACCTTTATTTCACTTCAAATGGGTATAATTAAATATAGATACCAAAGCAAGTGTAAAGATGCATCTGAGAATTACTATTTGACACTTTGTCTTCATGCAATAACTTGAATATTTAAAGTACAGATGCACTAATTACACTCTTCTTTAGAGGCATTTGACTATGCTAACATTTTTAGTTTAATTTTGTAGTCTAACTTTTTCTAATTTTAGTACTATTTTTATTTTATTTTTTAATTATATATTTTTTATAATAATATATCTTTATAATACGTTTTGAAATACATATATTTTATTTTGTTATACATTTTTTATTAATCATATAATTACATGTATAACACCACAATGTTCTTTTGCTTGTGAGACATCCATTTTAATTTACAGCCGTTTCAGTTGTCTTGCTACTGAAATGTTCAATATAAATTCACTTGCCTTGCCTTGCCTTGCCTTGACAGATGCAGTTACATGATGCATAGATATTATTAAGTGCTTAGGATAAAATGCCTTTGTTACGTAGAAGGCGTAGATGGCGTAAGAAGGCATAAAGGTTTTTGTAAGGTAAAATTTTTTTGCATAAAACAGAAAGATAATCTAAAAAGATTTCTCATAATCAGAACTGGAAAGGAAGAAAAATGGATGATTGACCCAAACCTATTCATCAATTATAACTAGTGTTGCACCGATACCAGTAAAATGGAGGTATAGGTATCGGAGAGTACCAACAAATAGGGCACCGACACCATTTTGAGAGCCAAACGTTTATTCAACTATTGTCACCCATTCCAGGTAGGCAATAAAAAGGTTGACTGGATTCACTTTGTAGTTGTCTTTTTCCTGCTTCACAAAGGTAGGCAGCAGCTTGACAAAGCCATGATGGCAACTGTATTACATCCAAGTAGTATGCAGCATATATACACACACACACACATCAATTTCAAACAGATGGTATCGGTAGGGTATCGGTATCGGCCGATACTGCACAGCCAGTTATCCGGTATCGGGGCCAAAAAATGGCATCGGCGCAACACTAATTATAACCATACAGTACTATGTTTGAGAAAGCAAATGGTGTTACACTGCTTTGTAACATGTTATAGGTTCAGATTTTTGCTATTACTTATGTCCCATCATCTACTGTAATGTCCTTATATTTTACTTTTTTTTTTTAAGGTTTACAGCTTTCATGCTTAATGTTTAAACACCTCACTGATAACAAAAGGAGTCTCTTTAACTTCCACACTGAAGATTGGTAGGGTCAGTGTTCCTTGGTAGCACTTAGGATGGTAGACTTACAGCCTTGTCCCAGTAAGGCAAGGTCAGCTGTCCAATACAGATCACCAGACCATTTTTGGCTTAATTTCTAATGCAAATGACTTTTATTGGAATGACAGCAAATATAAATCACAGTAATAATAACTTTGAATAAGGAACTTGCATTTATTTTCAAAGCAACTCCCTTAATTCCAATGTCCTTTTCCTGTATTCTTCCTTCTTCCCCCCTAATAATCTACCTTCCTGTCCATTATCCTCAAGTGCAGAATCAACATTGACTAATCAAGTTCTTAATGTCATATATCAATCTAACCCTGGTTCCCTGTGAAGGGCTGACACAGTATCTAAGCTAAATGGACCCTACTAAATAATTCATGTCCTGAGGAGAAAAAAGTAAAAAGTTCTACAGCAAAAGCCTTTTCACTTAGGTGGAAGATGATAGCCTCTGGGAATCCCGAAGATTCCAGATTTGCCTCGTTCTTATCTA